TTCATTTTTTTAATTTAATTTTTTTGATAATATTGAATTTTTTTCAAAGTATTAAAATTTTTTCAAAGGTTCGAAATTTTTGGAATTTTTGGAAACAACAATTTTTTTAAAATGTTTGAGATTTGTAAATATTTGATTTTTAAAATAATTTTTGAAGATTCTCAATATTTGTAAAAATCTTTTTTTTTAAATTTTGATATTTTTTTGAAATTTTCGATTGTTTAAATTTTTTGAATTTGAAAAACTTCGAAAATTTTGAATTTTTTAAAACTTTAATTTTATTTTGAAAGTTTTGATTTTTTTATTCAAATTTTTAAATTACGCAATTTTTTGTAAAAGCATATTTGCACGCCGTCTACACAAGCAAAAAGTTTTGTGATTATTCAAATCAGTTGATCCGTGTTCCAGAAATCGTCGACGAAATTTGTATTTGCACACATCCACACAAACATCAATTTTTTAAAGGTATGCCAGTAAAATGTTCAGAAACTTCTGAAACATGAACAAATGTAAAAAAAAATTATTTTTGATTCGAGACGATTACTAAAACTTACCCTACGAAAAGTTATAAAAAACTCTTACCGACAAGCAAATTAAATAGCAATTTAGAATTAAAAAAAAAAACATTGATGAGTGTATTAGTTTAGAAAAGAAGACCTCTACTGACGAGCAAATTAAAAATAACAGGAGTATACTAACGGATAGCACATACGATAAAAAAACTCTACTGACGTAAAATCAAAAAAATAAGATGGACCAGGAATCTACTGACGAGATATTAGGAAATACGATAAAAAGAACTATACTGACGAGCAAATTGAGGAAAATAAGAACTGACGAGTAAATTGAAAAAAATAAGAACAAAAGAACTCTACTGACGGGCAATATAAAATAATAGGAAAAACATGACTCTACTGACAGCCCATTCAGAAAAAATAGGACTCTACTGACGAGCAAATTCTGAAAAATGAGTGAAAAAGAACTCAACTGACGAGCAAATTGAGAAAAAATAAGAAAAAACAGGACTCTACTGACGAGCAAATTGAGGAAAATAAGCAAAAACAGGACTCTACTGACGAGCAAATTCAGAAAATAAGAAATAAACAGGACTCTACTGACGAGCAAATTCAGAAAAATAAGAAATAAACAGGACTCTACTGACGAGCAAATTCAGAAAAATAAGAAATAAACAGGACTCTACTGACGAGCAAATTGAGGAAAATGAGAAAGAACAAGACTACTGACGAGCAATTCAGCATTCATTGCTCGTCAGTAGACCTGCCTTACCAAAAATTTCTTCAATACAAGTAAAATGTTTTTTAAATCATTCAAATTGGGTACTCCGTTTTCTCAAAAATTGAATTACCATTTTTAGCACTGTTTTGCCTCGTATCTTCAAAACGACTGGACCTGCTTTGCCAAAAACTAATCATCACACATCTCCCTATCATAGGAATCGAATGTTTTTTGAATCATTCAACATCGGTTGATCGGTGTTCCCGAAGATCGTCGACGAATAATTGTATCCGCACACACACATCTATTTTTTCTAAGTAATGCCAAATTGTTCAGAAACCTTTGAACGTAATTTTTTCGATTTTTTGCAAATTACCCTATGGAAAGTTAGTAAATAAAACAATGTATAATTATCATTGTATGACTTCGATTATTGTTTTTTCCTAATTATATTTTTTTCATATCATTCGCACTCCATATTTGTGTAATAACAATTTCTTTTTGCTTTTTTTCTGCCGAATCATCCATCGACCGCAGAATTCGGGCCATTTAAACTATTAGAGCATTGAACGACATTTCTAGGGTTCGGTAAAGGAAAATAAATATAAGTACTAATATATTTCGACGTATTTTTCTTTACAAATATTATCTTCCCATAGGGTATTTATAGTAATGGCCAAAAATCGAAAATGAAAATTTTTCCATTTCTCGACGTTTTGAAGGTTTCTGAACATTTTCAGGCATTAGAAAAATATAAAACAAAAGAACTCTACTGACGAGCAAAATTTAAAAAAATCGAAACAAAGGGACTCTACTAACGAGCAAAAAGAAAAAAGAACTCTACTGAAAAGCAAAATTTTTGAAAAAAAAATCGTGTCAAAAGGGACTCTACTGACGAGCAAATCGAAACTGAAAGAATCAAAGATAAAAAAATGTTGTAAAAATGGGACTCTACTGACAAGCAAATAAAATCGCCGTTATAAAAAGAAACTCTACTGACGAGCAAAGGGAAAATAGAAAGAAAAAAGGACTCTGCTGACGACACAAAATTTACAAAAAAAATCGTTTCAAAAGGACTCTACTGACGAGCAAATAAAATACGTTAAAAAAGGGACTCTACTGACAACAAACAAACTTGAAAGAATTGAAAGAAAATCAACTTAGTTTCTAACAGTATTATTATATATAATTAATTATTTGTTATATTATTTGAACTGATGCAACTTGCCTCAAGGCAAAATGCTACCTAAACCAAGTTTTCATTTGTTCATAACCATAAAATTAATATTACAATATTAAACAATAAAACTATTTGCATTAAATTTATACTTAAAATATTTTACTCTAACGCTTACCATGCACATTGTTTTTGTAATTTTGGATTAAAAATTTAAAAAATTCACCAGGCTAAGCACAGTCTAAGCGCCACTCTGGTACAAATGCGTTACCCGAGTGCGTTTAGACTGGTTATATACTGGAGCACTTGCCCAATTCTGTGAAAAACTATTGAAAAATGTGAAAATGCAGCCAAGCTAAGCACAGTATAAGTGAAAATGTCGCACATAATTATTTGCAAATGCGTTTAGACTGTGACTATACGGGAGCACTTTTTCATTTTGTGTAATTTAGTCAAAACTATTTTTTTTTAATTGAATTCGAAATGAAATTGTTAATGTTCTGGAAATCAATTGATTTATTATGATTTACTTGATTTGCTCGGATTTAACAAAATAGCAAAAATAATGAAAGTTACACTGTATTTGTAATAATATATTTGAAAACGTTTAAAATTTCTCGAATATTTCATTACGGTACGGAAGTTCCAGCAATTTGCCTTAAGGCACGATGCCATACACCCCACTAGTTTTAAATTATTTTTAACAATGATACTTTTACCACCGCTGTTACAATTTATCACTGATCTTATACTGTTATATAATTTATCTCTATGATTTTTCGGTACAGAATTTTGCAACTGTCAAATATGGAGGTGTGAATTAAATTGCTATTATTTTTTTATTTATAACTTTAATGACATTGCAACAGTAAATGTTGTAAATGCGGTAGCAATTGCGGTATATAATTATATAATGAAGTAGAAGATTTGATTTGATTTGAAGAGATTGTTTATTGCAATTTAATTGTTGCTAATTGTGCGATGAGTAGGTCTTTTCCTGATTGTGATGTATTAGATTGAGTAAAAGTGATTCCATGTCTCTGATCCATACAGAACAATACTTAAAATAGTACTTTTTTATCATTTTCTGAAACGCTCTCTTATGCTTGTTTATAAGTAGTGAAAAACTGTAAAAATGTCTATCTATTTGCCGTGCGATCAGGGTATTTTACATAAAACAAGTAAGTAAGGGGGATGTTTGAAAGATTCTGTTATCATAACATTCTTTCTGTAATACGGTTTGGATTTGGAAAAGTTGTGAAGGTTACGATGTGTTAAATTTTGCAATTTGGTCGTCAGTAGAGTCCATTTTTTAATGTTCTAGATTAAATTAAAGTTTGCTCGTCAGTAGAGTCCTTGTTTATTATCTATTTTTTTTATTTGTTTGTCAGTACAGTTTCTTTGTTATCTTCTGGATCAAATTTAAGTATGTCTGTCAGTCAGTCGTCAGTCGAGTTCCTTTGTCCTCTGTCGCTAATTTTTTTATCAATATTTCTTCAATTTCGGTTAGCTCGTCAGTGCAGTCCCTTTTTTATTTTCTCAAATTTAAATTTGCTCATCAGTGGAGTCTCTTTTTTACCTTTTCGGTAAAAACGACATTAAATTTGGTTAATTTTTAACTTTTCGGTGTTAAATCAAAGTTTGCTCGTCAGTAGACTCCCTTTTCCATCTTCTAAATCAAATTTTAAAAAATTTGCTTGTCAGTAGAGTCCGTTTTTTATCTTCCGGATCAAATTTTAAATTTGCTCGTCAGTAGAGTCCCATTTTTAACTTTTCGGTATTAAATTAAAGTTTGCTTGTCAGTAGTTTCCCTTTTTGAGCTTTCAAATCAAATTTCAAGTTTGCTCGTCAGTACAGTCATTTTTTTATATTTTCGATATTAAATTCACTTTGCGTGTCAGTAGTCTCTTTTTCATCTTCGAAATCAAATTTTGAGTTTGCTCGTCAGTAAAGTCCCTTTTTTATCATTTTAACGAAAATCGCAAAATAATTTCACTGAAAATTTTGTGTTAGTGACGGTTACCATGACAACCGTAAAACTAAATTTAAGTAAATTAGAAAAAAAATGTATTTTTACAAAAAATTTGAAAATATTTCAAAAATTTAAAAAAAATCGAATTATTCAAAAATATCCAAATTATCAAAATATTTGAAAAAGTTTTTTTTTTAATTCCAAATAATTTTAAACTTCAAAAAAACTTTCAAATATTTGGAAAAAATTCAAATTTTTAAAAAAAATTTAAATTAACAAAAAATTTCTATATTATCAAAAAAATCAAATTTCTTATAAACACATAAGTAGAATACGCTCATCGCCTTATTTAATAACACTTATAACTTTACAGTATGCATTTTATATATATAATCTATTTGAAATTATTCAAAACAATTATTGATTATTTTCATATCTCGAATGTTTAATTACGGTACGGGAAGTTCCAGCAATTTGCCTTAAGGCACGATGCCATGCGCCCCGCTAGTTAATATTTTGCTTCTCAAATTTTTGTATTTTTTTCTTTTAAATGTTTTAGTAGAACAAACTGATGATGGAATGTATCTGGTTACGAAACGTCTTTATTAAGCATCTACAAAAAACTAATGTTTTCTTTATTTTAATTGATATATATATATATATATATATATATATATATATATATTTATCCCTTAAATTTCTAGTTAATAATAAAACACTTTCCTTTCATTAATAAATGTTTTACTATTTATTACAAAAATATTGCAATCGAAACATGAAGCACACACCGTCATACAAAAAAGTCAAAATACCAAACAGTACAGCCGTACTAACCTTATTACGAGAGATCCTTATTAAATCACACACAATCATTTAATTAATTAATAACAAACAAGAGTCTTGTCGATCAACAAACGCCTTATAAAAGTATATACAACAGTACGATGGATAATTGAATCAAACAAATTAATTGAATTATCCAAACTAAAAACTAATTTTTTTTTAAAAAAAAGGGACACTACTACAAGTCTTCGTCTGGTTTCAGGATCATCAATTTGGCTCGGGCTCCTTTGCAACCGTAGATGGGCGGAATGTCCTGGGCAATCTTGAGGGCGTCTTGTCGGGATAATTTTAGGTTGAGTTTGGAGGCTTCTGTCATTACGCAACTGGAAGAGGAGAGAAAATAATAAATAGGTGAGATATATAAGTATGATATTTGGATAGAGCTCGTCGAGACCTTTCATTTGATACCCCACATGCCTATATTTGACTTGACAACATTTTGACCTACTGTTCGGCAACCCAATGGTCTACCTTTTATTAAATCTCTTGTAACTTTTGAACCGTTTGTGTGAGATACATGAAATATTCAGTGAATTTATTCTAAATTAAAAGATTTGTAACATACTCGAATATTTTCAAGAATTTTTGAACAAACATTAACATTAGATAGTCAATAAATGATTTCTACGAAACTTTTTTGATTTTTGAAGTCTATAAGTATGATATTATCAAAGTCCTGGTTAAGACCTTTCATTTGATACCCCACATGTCTATATTTGACACGACAACATATTTATCCGCTGTATTATTTATAGTTTGGCAACCCATTGGTCTACTTTTATTAAACTCTTGTAACTTTTGAACCGTTTGTGTGAGATACGTGAAATATTCTGTGAATGTGTGCTAAATTTAATTGTCTATAACATTATTCACTATAAAACCCTTACAGCTAGTTGGTGTACTTTAAAATGATCATAGATAGTGAATATATGGTTTGTACGGAACCCTATTGATTTATGTAGTCTGTAAGTATGATAATATTAAAGTGCTCGTTAAGATCTTTCATTTGATACCGCACATGCCATATGTCACGTCACAACGTCTTAGCCCACTGTACTATTTATAGTTCTGCAACCCATTGGTCTACTTTTGTTACATCTCTTGTAACTTTTGAACCGTACGACCAAAACAAATGATATATTCGACAAATTTGTGCTGAATTAAATCGACTATCAAATTGTCGAGTAGAGAAAAATGTCACATGGAAAAGGACTCACTGACGAGCAAATTCTGCTTGAAATTAAACGCGACTCGGATTTGACAAAAATAATAATGATTTTAAAAAGAGAGTCTACTGACGACAAAATTAAACTTGATTAAACTGACAGTCTTTAATAATAGTAAAATTTAACACGAAAAGGTCTACTGACGAGCAAATTCCAACCAATGACTAACGAGGGTCAATTTAGCAAAAAAGGACACTACTGACGAGCAAATTAAGCAAAAGAGAATTAATTTGCTTGTCAGTAGAGTCCTTTTCTTTCTAAAGAGACCTTTCATTATTAGTTTTTTTTTGAATTTGCTCGTCAGTAGAGTTCCTTTTCTGCCAAATTTCATTATTTTTGTCAAATATTTTTTGAATTGCATTTTTGGACAGACAATTAGATCAAATTAAATTTGCTCGTCAGTAGAGTCCCTATTTTAAAAATAATATTATTCTTGTCAAGTCCAAGTTCAATTTACTAGTCAGTAGAGACCTCTTTATCTGTGACAATTTTCTACCAACATTTTTCTCAAGAACAATACCAATTTTCTCACTACCCTTTTTACTACTACTCCAATTGATTGTTAGTAGAGTTCTTTTTCTTTTAAAATCAATGTGTACTAATGATTTTACTGAATTTGCTTGTCAGTAGAGTCCCTTTATGTTTTTTTCCAGTTTGCTTGACATTGTTTAGATACTATGGTTTTGTTAATAGATATTTATGTACTAATTAGTTTGCTCGTCAGTAGAGTTCCTTTTTTGCATTTGTTTTAAGTTCAGTTTGCTCGTCAGTAGAGTTACTTTTTTTAAATTGAATTTAAGCATTTTTTCTGACCAGTAGAGTCCTTTTCTTGTCAAATTTGATTATTATCCTTGTCAATTAAATCTTGCATTGAATTTCTGGGTTGACAATTTCGTCGTCAGTAGAGTCCCTTTCTTTTAAAAAAATATTATTGTCAAGTACGAGTTGATTATAAGTAATAGTCTAGTTTGCCCGTCAGTAGAGTCCTTTTTCCTGTGACATTTTATACCAAACATTTTCTCAAGAATGAAATTAATTTTTTCGCAAGTAGAGTTCCTTTTTTCTTAATAATTTTGCTTGTCAGTAGAGTCCCTTTTATAATAAATATTTTAATTGTGAATATAAATGAAATTAATATCAAATTAATAATGGTTCGAGATATATAATAAAGAGTGGACCAATGGGTTGCAGAACTATGAATAGCACAGTAACTCAAGACGTTGTGACGTCATATATGGCATGTGGGGTATCAAATGAAAGGTCTCGACGCGGACCTTAAATCTATAACATTGTCTAACACCATAAAGCCCTACATCAACTCGTTATACTTAAAAATTATCTTTTATCATTTACCTGACAACATGCTCAATCTTCAGCTTCCCAAACTTGACCAAACTAACATCCAACGCACCCTTAAACTCCTTCCTGAATCCTTCGAGAATCTCCTCATCAAAATGACCACCATCCACCGGCGTCATGTCCTTTTTGAGCACCAAAGTGTTATAAACAAGCACCACCAGCGTCTTCATCTTGTTTTGGTAAGAAAACTGTTGGACATCCCTTATCGTATCATATAAACCCTCCGGTGTTTTTTGTCTAAACCATCCAACAAAATCAAGTTGTACCCACAATGGGAAAGGGTGAGTTTTAACACTTTGAGGTCGTTGGTGGACAAAGGGTGGTGTATGGTGAATATGTTTCTTGTCCAGGGGAACGTTGAGGCTAGTTGTTCGAGGGTGAAGGTTTTACCGACGCCCGTAGGCCGGTGAGGAGTAAGAGTTTGAAATTTTTGGTGTAGAAGTTTTTGGCTAAGTCTTGGATCATCTGGTCTTGGCCGTATAGGTTTTGTTGCAAGCTTTGAAGGGTTTTTTGGAAGTCTAAAGCTTGATCGCACTTAGCACGTTGTTTAAACAAGTTGTGCGAAAGGACTTTCAAGTTGTCTTTCACGCTCAACTCGGTGTTATGCACGAAACCCAAGTACGCGCTTACGGGTAAAACCAGGAACAAAAACACCAGGGCAAGGGTACGGAATTTACCCGGCGCACTTGCATCAACCTCATCAGAACCTTTTAAAATTTTCCTCGGGTTTCCCTGATCTTGATCCTCCTTTTTAACCCTTCGTCTTTTCCTCAAATTAGCATCACCGTCCACCACATCATCATCACTTTTTTTCTCCAGACTTTTATCAATGTCCATAGGGATGACGTCTAGTTTTTCCTCGCAGTCCTTGGTGAAACTAAAGTCGAAGTTATTGAGTTTACCAAAGACCTTAATGTCTGCCTCATCCTGGTGCTGGTTCTGATCATTATCCTGTTGTAATTCGGAGGTATTTTCGGATGCCATCAGACTGGTTTTGAAATTTGACCAGTTTGACCAGGCCGGTTCGCAGAGATCGCCGCCTTGTTGGTAAGGGATGCTGTAGGTGTCCTTGATGCGGATTAGAGGGGATGATCCTAGGCGGGGATCTGAAAAAAAAACCAAAAAATAGTTGTGACGATGAAATTTACAATAACTAGTGGTGTAATATCAATACCAACTAGTTTATTTTATTTTTGCTATATTTTTTATTAAATTTCGTGTCGCCAACACTAGATAGAAAGGGAGCGATGCATACACAAATGTGTGAGCGAGTGAGAAAGGTAGATGCATAGTGTGGTCAATACTAAATATAAATATCGAAACTCGGTCACGTCTTAAATATTCCAATCATTAATATCAATAGTAACACTAACTTATGTAAAGTTTATGAAAATTGTATTATTTCATTTCTTTTAAGATGCTTTTTTTAGTTTTTTTTTAACTTCCCGTAGGGTAAGTTATAGTAATGGGCCGAAAATCGAAAATGAAAATTTTTGCATTTCTCGACGTTTTGAAGGTTTCTGAACATTTTGGCATACTTCAGAAAAAATTGATGGATTGTATGTCCGCATTTTTTCGACCACGTTTTCGGACGCACGGATCAACCGATTTGAATGGTTTAAAAAAACATTCGATCCCTATTGATAAAGAGATGTGCTGATTAGTTTTTGGCAAAGCCAGGTCCAGCCGTTACGGAGATATGGAGCAAAGAGTGCAGAAAATAGAAATCGAGTTTTTGAAAGAACGGATCATCCGATTTGTATGATTCAAAAAACATTCAGTTCGTAATGACGGGGAAAAGTGGTTATTAGTTTTTAGCAACGGTAGGCCCAGCGGTTTTGGAGATACAGAGCTAACTGTTAAAAAAATGTTTTTGAGAGAACCAAGCGTCCGATTTAAATGATTCAAAGAACTTTCTGCTTGTTTCAACAAAATAATTGCCTTTGTAAAAAAAATTTTTGTTTCTAATTTTTTTTCTCAAAAAATATTTTTGTAATTTTGGATCAAAAATTCAAAAAATAACCCGGGCTAAGTACAGTCTAAGCGCCACTCTAGTACAAATGTTTACCCAAGTGCGTTTAGACTGTTTATGTACTGGAGCACTTTTCCAATTTTGTGAAAACAAAAACTATTGAAAAATGTAAAAATGCCGCCAAAGTAAGCACAGTATAAGTGAAAATGTCGCACAGAATTATTTGCAAATACGTTTAAACTGTTACTATACGGGAGCACTTTTTACACAAAAAGAACTCAACTGACGTGTAATTTAAAAAAAATTACATGTTGCATTAGAAAACAAAGGAACTCCACTGACGAGCAAATTAGAATTTTGGTATAATTACTGGTAAAATGTCATTTAAGAAAAATTAAAAGACTCTACTGACGAGTAAAATCAGGGAAAGAATATTAGAGGTTCAAATTTTATACAAAAAGGACTCTACTGACAAGCAAATTTACAAAAATATATTAAAGTGTCATTTTTGAAAAAAAAATGAACTTTAATGTCGAGCAAATTAGAAAAATTACTGATAAAATGTCAATTAAGGCAAACAAAAGGACTCTACTGACGAGCAAATTTACAAAAAAAATATATAAATTATAATGTCATTAAAAAAAAGAACTCTACTAACAAATTTGGACATATCATTTAAGAAAAATTGGAACAAGAAATTATAGCAAGTTTAAAGAAAAAAAACTCTACTGACGAGCAAACTAGTAAATTTGAAAATGTTAATGACGAAAAATGTTAGGACCCTACTGACAAGCAAAAATATATTGAGGTCATTTTAGAGAACTGAAAAAACTCTACTGACGAGCAAATTCGAAAATTATTAGTTCAGAAAAAAGAACTCTACTAACGATCAAACTAAAATTCTATATATCAAAACTTCTATATACCAAAATTTATTAATATAGTATATATTATTGGGCAATAACAATATTATATATTGTTGAAAACCTCATAAAATCGTCTACTAAACTGTATATAACATTTAATAACATTTCAAACAAAATTGCTTAAGAAAAAATCCACAAAAATTTAAAATTTATGTACCAAGTAATTAGCCATTGGTTACATTTTTTAATATTCAGCATTATTATTATAAAATTTATATATATATATATATATACATATATACATATATACCATGATATATTATTAAAAACTAGATAAAATTATCTATAAATCTGTATATAACAATTTGTAACTTTTGGAACAAAATTATGCAAAAATAATTAGTTAAACTTTGCAATCAAAATCTTGATAAGGCACTCACATTGTTTTAGCTTCAACTGTAAATTTATTTTGTTTGAATTTAATTGAATATGTTGTAATTATTATATATCATTAAAGAGCTGATAAAATTATCTATAAATCTGTATATAACAATTTAAAACTCTTCGAACAAAATTGTATAGAAAAAAATTGTTAAACATTGAACACACAAAACTTATTTAGAAACAAATTTACATTTATTTACTATATAACAACTAAATCATTCATCATTAAAACGATGCCTTCAGCAAATTTGATTGAAATTAAATCATAAACAATGTTATCTAACATCATGACGTCCTACAGCAACTCGGTATACTCTAAAAACTCTTTTAAAGATACATACAACTTTGCTTTCTCCATTTTTTGTAAAGAACTCTTATAGTAAAAACGGCCGAAGCAAAGTTGTGTATTTAATATTGAAGACAAATAAATTTGTTTTATTTAGTCGCTTGTAACTTCCAAACCATTCGTTTAATATGAATAAAGTGTTCGGTGAATTTATACCAAATTAAATTATAAACAATATTGTCTAACATCATGAAGTCCTATGCAACTCGGTGTACTCTAAAATGCAATATTTTGAGGCTATGATGAACTTCAGGTTAATTTGTATGTCACACTTTACATATTAATGTAAAATTAAACATACATTGAGTCAATAAGTCTTTCTATAACTTGTAAATGATATTCTAGCAACTATTCGAAATCATTTTAGGCATCCCAAGACTAATCGAAAACAATTGAACTTTAGGAAGTACACAGTATGTAAGTTAAGGTTAGGTTAACTTGTTAGTTAACAAAATTCCTAATGTCATTACTCAACTATGTTCCAAACGTCTACAAAGCTTTGTATTTATATTTCAAGCACACCAGCTATGCCCCCTTAATCACAAAAACTTTCAGCACAATTCTTAAAAACTATAAAATACAATTTATTATCCATCTTACCATAAATCTGCTCGCAACTGAAATGCCTCACAAGTCCCTTCTTTCCAAAAGGTGTGTTCAAGTTCACAAATTTAGGCACCGGAGAGTTATAAATCTAAAATGAACAATGACCATTAATAATTATATCATTTCCTCAATAATGTGCATGTGTATTATCACATACACTCGTATTTCTAGTAGGAGAAGCAAAAGTTAATGTACTCAAATCCGACAGAGACGAAGAACGATTTAGTTTATGGTTTACATCAAACGAATCCATTGTGTAGAAAAACAAACAAAAACACTAGCATAACCTTAAAAATTATAACAGATGTAAAACAACTTTACGACAGAACAATACATTTAACAATGATTAAAATGTTAATGGAAACAAGATGCAAAGTTTTAACGTGACAAAATTTGCAACGGTCACTCAGAAAACCATTTTGCAACTGTCAACATAACCACAAATATTGGAAAAAAATTATTGACACAAATTTAATATTTATTTATTACCACTAACTAATCCAATATGTATCATCCGTGTTGAAATATGTTTTAGTATTAAATACTTTTATAAAACTCACCTTTTAGCACAAATTGTCCGGAATAAAAAAAATCAAAAATCCGCGCTTTGACATTTGTGAGTAAACTATTGCCAATGTTGAGAATTATATTAATAAATAAAATTTTAATTTAAATAATATTTTAAATGTTTTTCATGCAATAATAAATTCTAAACGGGATTTATAAGTTTTTTAGATAATTTAGAACGAAATTTAAAAAGCTTTTTAACAATTGAATAAATAATCACGAGTTGACAGGTGAAGTTGGTTGCGCGCGAAATTCAAATTTCAAAATTTCGAATGCAAAGTTTATATTTATAATATTTTCTTATTACTTGTAGCTGTAAGTTTTAAATATATATTGAATATTGTTGATTTTGTGTAATACTTTAATTATGTTAATATAAATTAGGTGTGAGTGGCATTTTGCCTTAAGGTAAGTTGCATAAACTTCCCAATATGTGTTATATTCATAAGAAATAAAGTCCTGATATGTGTTAATATTAAATAAAAAATCAATGTATAATTTTATAAGTATATACAGTTGTTTTAGCGCTTTATAGTGTTAGATAATATTGTAATATATGCAATTTTGTACAAATTTTCCAAATACACAAGTTATTTTTGACAAATAGTTCAAAAGTTATTAATTATTGAACACACTGCGTTTTGGTTTAGAAAATTATGCTAAACTTTAATGTTTTTTTTATAAATAAATTTCTTTTTACTGGTCTATAATATTTGACGAACCAGGATGATTTTTATGAAAAACTAATGAGCAAGATTTCCATTTTCGAATATTAGTTTTATAGTTTTGTAATTCTTATTTATTAATGTTAATATTTATTTTAGTTTTATAGTTGCAGTTTTCTATTTCCAAGTTTATTTTGTTATAAATATTTAAAATACAACAATGATGTTATATATTGTTAGAAAGCTAATAAAATTATCTACAAATCTGTATATAATATTTTATAACTTTGCTAACAAAATTTAATATGAAAAATATGTGAAATTTAAAATTTAGTATCTAGTTATTAGTCATTGGTGGATTTCATTGGTTACATTTTTTATTTTTGAATAAAATTTTTTTTAATTTGAATTTCAACGTATATATACGTATATATTATTATGTATTGTTAGAAAGCTAATAAAATTATCAACAAATCTGTATATAACGTTTAATAACTTTAGAACCAAATTTAATATGAAAAATATGTGAAATTTAAAATTTAGTATCTAGTTATTAGTCATTGGTGGATTACATTGGTTACATTTTTTTATATTTAGCATGATTTTGTTAAAGTTTTTTTGTATATTATGATATATCATTGAAAAAATAAAATTATCTATAAATCTGTATATAACAATTTAAATGTCTTCAAAGAAAATTGTGTAAAAAAATGGCTAAATTGTGAATTCACAAAACTTGAAATTTGTAACCCAAGAAGTCAAGTCTTATATTACATTTGGATAAACTTTGTTAAAAAAACTTATAAGTTTTAATATATATATTGTATTATATATTATTGAAAACTATATAAAGTTATCCTTAAATCTGTGTATATCAATTTATACATTTTAGAACAAATTTATATTTAAAAAAATCTTTAAACTTTATCATTAAATTTTTATTCTTTTGCACTCCAAGACATTGATTTATGAAAATGTTTATTTTGTTGTTACTTAATAACATATGCTGTATATTATTATATATCATTAAAAAGCTAATAAAATTATCTACAAATCTGTATATAACAATTTGTAATATTTAGAACAAACTTATTTTTGAAAAATCTAGAAATTTAATTATATTTTTAACAATTGCTGTAAAGGTTTAAGACGTCAGTGCTGAAGCATTTTACTTAAATTTTTTTAAAATTGTAAAACATTTATAATTATATTATTGAAAAGCTAATAAAATTATCTATAAATCTGTGTATAACAATTTTAGTAAACTAAATTATATCATTTCAGGAAAATTTTACAAATAAAACTTATATATTTTATATGTTTAGGTTTTATAAATTAGTATACGTTGGTGAAGTAAAGATTTTAATTACAAAATTCAACAAATTATTTTTATATAATTTTGTTCTAACAGCTGTAAATTGTTATAAACAAAGTTGAAGATAATTTTATAGACTTTTTAACAATATAATATAATGAATAAGAATAAAGATCATTTTTAACAGAATAATGATAAATATAAAAAAATCTAACCTATGTCTAATAACTAGTACTAAATATTAAATTTCACGAATTTTTTCTTAATTAATTTTGTTCGAAAAGTTATTAAATGTTATATATAAATTTTTAGACAATTTTATTAGCTTTCTAACAATATATAATATTATTGTTATATTTTAAATATTTATAACAAATTAAATCTGGATGTAAAAAACTGTAATTGATTATGTCTTCTTAATAAAAATGAAACATTATTAGTTAATAGACAAAATATTTATTTATTTTAATAATATAAATAAGATCTAGTTTAAAACAGTTTATTTAAACTTTAACAATAAAAATAAAAATATACTATTAGAGATATATAATATAAATGAAAAATAATTGAAAATGATAAATAATATAAATGAAACACGTTTAAGAGTTGTATATATTTAATAAATAAAAAAAAACTATGAAATAAATTAGACAGTTATATATGCAAGTTACTTCTACAAAACTTTTAAAATTATAAAATATTAGAAAACATTTTAAATAAATTATTTTACTTATGTTACAGAATATCCATAGTTAAAATAGTTATATAACAGATACATACAGTTTTTACATACTATTTACTATCATTTCTATATGAAAAACTACAAATTATTTACATAATTACAAATTTCTACGTAAATCGTATCAAATTCAAATTTCAAATCTGGTAACTTTCCCGCCATTACGTTTTGTTCTATGTCAAAGTCTAATGAATTATTTTTATATAATTATGTTCTAACAGTTACAAAATGTTATATACAAATTTATAGATAATTTAATAAACTTTATAATCGTATATATAAATACATAAAAGTAGCTATTACATATAAAAAAATGTAACCAACATTGGCTAATTTACATTACCTACGATTCTTATTAAATTTTGTTTGAAAAGTTATATACAGATTTGTTGACAATTTTATTAGCTTTCTAACAATATATGTAGCATTAATGTTACATTTTAATTTTTCACAGTAACTTTATAATTATTCACAAATTTAACTCAAATTGTTTCAAATTCAAATTTCAAATCTGGTCACTTTGCCGCCATTACGGTTCTTTCTAACAAAATGTCATGTCAAATTTTAATGAATTATTTTTATATAATTTTGTTCTAACAGTTACAATTTGTTATATATAGATTTATAGATAGTTTAATAAACTTTCTAATCGTATATAATAATATATAAAAGTAGCTACATACATATAAAAATATAACCAACAATGGCTAATTATACATTAAATCTTAAGTTTCATACATTTTTCCTATATAATTTTATGCACAAGTTTATAAAGCATAAAACACACTAATTTGTGCAATACAATACAGTAAATTAGCTACATACAATATTATTATTGTTATATTTCAACTTCCCATGTTATAATCATTTACAATTTCAACTCAAATTCAAATTTCAAATCTCCCCACATTCCCGCCAACAATTTAATCCCACCAAGACAAGTGTTAACAGCGGCAACACGTTTCGTACCTTCCTTTCCGGTTCATGTTCGATGTGAGTGGACGTGTGTTGTGTATTTATTAATTTCGGTAAGTTCTTCAATGGCCAGTTAATTTGTGATAAACTATAAAACACGAACCGGTATGTAATTGGCTTAGAAAATAAATTTATATATCCGCCATAAGTGTAGGCATTTTTGTAATAGTACTACACCACATAACCTCAACTTGTTACACTGACTTACAAGTATTGATACAATATTATATTATATATAAGTTTGTTTATGTTAAAAGTTGTGTTTGGGTGTTTCTAATACTTATTGTGTTTCCTTTAGTATAATGGCTGATACAGAAATGGAAACATACGAGGACATGGCCCCAGCCCATGTGGAGCCTGTTGCTCAGCCTGCGGAGCTCCCTGAAATCAAATTGTTCGGACGGTGGAGTTGTGATGATGTACAAGTCTCTGATATGTCACTACAGGTAAGATAATTGATTGATAAAAAGTTGTGGAAGTTAGTGGATTGGGTGCACAATGTGTTGGGTGTTCGACAAGTTTTTATTGGGGAAAATGATTGAACATGTTTACCCTTAATGGCTTTAATTTGAATAATAATTAAGAATTAATAATCCAAAGATTACAACAAAACTTGTTCTGATAATGGATTGAAAATAGAAGCTTTTGTCAAAGAGGTTAGGTAGGCTACTGCAAATGAGTTTTTAAATTGCGACAAGTGGGTTTGGGTTCTATATAAGTCCTTTAAAATGCTATTTTATCGCATGCAATTGATATTATAGTTTCGCTTATGGACAATATTAACGGTGACATATAATCCTAGACTTATAATTAATTCTTATATTTCTTTGGAAAGTATGTCTACAATTGACTTGATTCAATTAACTCTATTTATTTTAAACTATTTCAATTTATTAATCTTTTACTATTATTTTATTTTTTTCTAGGATTACATCGCCGTCAAAGAAAAGAACGCCAAATATCTACCCCACTCTGCTGGTAGATACGCTGCCAAGCGTTTCCGCAAAGCCCAGTGCCCCATCGTAGAACGTCTGACCAACTCCCTGATGATGCACGGACGTAACAATGGCAAAA